CAGCTGCCCAGACAAATTGACAGATATTTACATGGTCCCACCCAGTACTCCGGTGGGAGTTACAAAGACTATGGCTAGAAAAGCCATGTTATGCAATTCACTACATCGCAAGTGGGTAGAGGCCAGGATGCTACTAAATACTTGAAAACGCCTAGGACATCCCCATACATTAAAGAGTTATCTAGAACAAAATGTTAATGGTGCTGAGATTGAAAAAAAAAAAAATTATCTAAGGTCAGTATATATCAAAGAACTATGGAAACAATTAGTCCAATGGACCAATGGACCACAGGAACCTCAGCCTACCCAACTCTGAGGCCAGAACTAGTGGTGCCTGACTACCAATGCCAACCAGTTGGCAAAAGATCAAAATTGGAGATCCTGGTAGAGTAGAAGTAAAAAATGTGGAGCAAAATTAAAAAACACAAAGAAGACCAGGATTATTGGTTGGATAGAGGCTGGTAAAATTTGTGAAACTATGGCCCTGGGATACCCTTTGGGCATGGAATTGAACCCAGTCTTGTGGGTTAGCTCTGAGCTAAACAATAGACAGGACTATGAGCTGAACAACTACATTAAGAAGATACACTCAGAACAGTCAACCATGGGAAATCAAAAGGGCAGCATTTGTGCAGGGAGAAATCTAGGTAAGCAAGAACACATAGGGAAGAAGGGCACAAAAGAAGGGGTAACCACAAGGAGGAGGTGGAGGGAGAGCTGTTACATTGTAGGGATTGTGATTAGTGTTGCAAAACAAAATGTGTATGAATTATTGAATGGAAAATGAATATGCTTTGTAAAATTGCACCCCAATCATAATAAAAAGTTAAAAAATAACCTTATAAAGAAAAGGAGCCATCTATTTCAGGGGCAGCAAGAAAAGTGGCACATGCCTTTTCTCAAAGCAATTCTTGCTGAGAGAGAAAATAGCTCTAAGAGATAGGAAAATTGATGTGGCTGAAAGTGAGAAGAGGATATCAATTAGCAGTGTGCCTAGAAGGTCTTCCTTGACACTACGCCAGACAAGTTTAGCAACAACGTGTCTAACGTATCTCTCAATGAACCTAACTTCTGACTTGCACATAGGCCTCTGTAGAGCACTTCTGAATTCTTCCTAAAATTTTATCTAGTGAATCCTCATTCTTGTCAAGCTTCGCAAACATTTCATTTCACTCGTATAAAAAACAAACAAACAAACAAAAAACCTTTACCTTGAGATAAAACATAGTCAACACCAGAATTCTAAATTAGAATGGCATTAGTTGAAGAGCTGGTAGAATACCCAACATGAAATTTGAAAGGAAGATCTATTTACTTTCAAAGATTCCATGAAATAGATTCTTACTCCACTTTTCCTTAAATAGACATGCATATTTGGAATCTTTATATTATTCAAAGGCTTTAATGGTCTTCCTAATTGGCTAAAAATTAATTGGAAAAAATTATTTGGCTTTCCAGTGAAGCATTTCTCTCATTTAGAGTCTTTCTGTTTCTCTCAATAGGCCTTGAGAGTTCTCATTATTTTCTTCAGGATAAAGATGAGGTTTCATGGAACAAACAATACAAGAATGTACGGACCTTATATAATCTCACCTATCAGTTTTCCAGGAAAATCTTTCTTGGCATTAATTTGCCATTCTGTATTTAGACTTCATAAAAGACATTGCATCATAAATATGTGCTCTTTGTTTAGCTGGAATGTACTTAATTTTAAATGGGAAACTCAAGACAGCAACAAAGAACGGTTCATGCCAAGATAGGTCATAGTACATCGGCAATAGATCAAATAAAAATATCTGAATAATCGCTTCCAGATAAAACATCACAATAGTTCCTTAGAACTTTACATAATGACCTCTTATAAGCTCAAATCCCCCTTCACATTTTCTTGAAGGAAGAAATCACTGGCTTCCCTCTTCTTTCCCTAAGCTTTCCAATCAGTTTACAAGCTTCAAATTTGCCTTTATTTTGCTAATGGTTCTCTCATGGTCTTCTTGAGTGGGTTTTTCTTTCCCCTCATAGTTCCCTTTCTGGAGGAATTTTTAAAGTGCAGCCCAGTGTTTGTAATTTCGAGTCTTAATTTAGGCATTTGGCCACTAGGGAATATGTATCTTATACCTTCAGAAAACATTTAGATAGAAGTGTGTGGAAATGTACTTATGATAGATACTAAATAATAGTGGCTTCCAGCGTCCACAAAGATTGAAAATACTGAAAGTCAACTGCTGACATTTTCTAGGTTCACAGATAACACTTACATTAACAAATTTACCTAGAATAAAGTACAATATTTCTTTTGGCACATATAACTTCAGCAAAATTTCTAACTAGGGCAAACTTGAAATTTCATTCCTTTCCTGATATTCTGAATTATTAATTTTTAAAAATTATTGTTCTATTTATAAACCTAAGATTATAGTTTGCTTTGCTTTCAAAAAGTATACCTTCTATAAACCATAAAATTATCTTTCCTTAAAATTTCCTTAAATCAGAAATATTAAAAGGCATTTTTAAAATTAATTAATTAATTGTTTTTATGTTTAGTGGGGACTGCGTAAAAATCCTTAGAGCTAGTTATTATGTACCTTTATAAATGCATAGTCTGAAACCTAGAAATAAAGCAACTGGGTCAGAGACTCATAGGTAGCTGGTTTACAGTGCAGCAAATGGTTTTCTGCTAAATTAAACTAGTTACTAATGAGTTAATTCTGACTCACAGTGATTGCATGTGTGTCAGAGTAGAATTGTGCTCCATAATATTTTCAATGGCTGATTTTTGTTGAAGTAGATCACCAGTCCTTTCTTCTGAGATGTCTCTGGGTAGACTCGAACTTCCAACATTTTGATTATCAGTCAAGTTGATTAATAGTTTATACTACACAGGGACTCCTCTGCTCAATTACATTACTAGTAATCTGCTACCATTGAGTCAGGTCTGACTCATAGTGACCCCTCCTTGGGTTTCTGAGGTAGTATGACTAAGGAAGTAGATTGCCCAACCTTCCTTCCGGGGAGTGGGGATTTGAACCACCAGCCTTCTGGTTAGCAGTCAAGTGCCTTATTTGACATGGGTTCCAGAGGACATGTAGTATCATGCATTTCATGGAGCATTAATTAGCCTTTCAAGGTCAGTTGGCAGATTTTTAACAGAAATATAAGTAGGTGAAACCCAGAAAAATATTTCACGTGTTTTCCTCTCAATATACCTGAGAAAATCTTCTCACAGGAAAGCATTCTCCAGGACAAGGTCCTCTATCCTTCAGGGAATTGACTTACTGTTTTTCATTGTTATTAATTGACATTCCATTGTCAATTAATAGCTAGAGGTGGCACTTCCTAGCTCTCTATTTTTGTCTCAGTGCATTGAGATCTAAAGCATATTATGAGATCCCTCCCTGCTGCTTATGTTTCCATTATAAAAATTTTTATTTATGGTTTCAGTTTGCAAAAGTAGAATAAAAAAAAAGCCTTGGCTGTTTAGAACTAACCATATCTGCATGGGTCTCTGAGGAGGTAACATTCCTCTATGAATGGAGAAGAATAGGGCTCTTGTGGTCTGTCTTTACTTTCCATCTGGCTCTCCAAACCACGACAGCTGAAGGTTCTTTCCTCTGAAATACTGTGCATCAATAAATCCATTCAACTCCCCTTGTTTAATTTTCAGACTCTGAGACTTTATTCAGGCTAGGATTAATGATTAACAATTGATGAAAGTGTTGTTAAGTGCGATTTCTGCTACCAGGAATGCTAAATGTGAGTTTGCCCAACTGTTAAGGCACACAGATAAATTCAAGATCACTGGCTGTTTGTGTCCTTGTATGAACACACAATAAAATAAAACAAAACCACTAAGTAAATATGTATTGAAAAAACAACCCTCTTAATGTATGATTTTGATGTGCAGATTATTTAAGGAATTTCTCACACATGCTGTGAAAAAGCATACTGGCATATTGTTACATAACATTGGGAACCAAAAAAAGTAAATATTAACGTTAAGAGATCATTATCCAAGCTCATTTAGAGGAGGATGAAGGCCATTTTGGAAGAAGAAAATCGTCCTCATTAAGAATTCCAGCTGCAAATACTGAAACAAATTATTTTCAGGTATGGTTTCAAAATTATTGTTTAAGGTTTCTCTCAAAGTGCTTTTTTTTATTTTGGTTTTTGTGGTTGTTGTTACTTGTTTCTCTTTTAATTTTACTTGCTAGTGTTAACTAATACAAGAGAATTTTTTTCATTTCTCAGATTTAATATTTTAGAGGTTTTTTTATTAATACCTATATTGATTGGAAAGGAGATGCAGAATGAAAGAAGAGTGCAGCTTTTATATAATAACAAGTATTCAATAAATTTAAATATATATTCAAGAATAATATTAAATATCAGAAGTCTTAGTTGGTCTTACTGATTTACTGATTAGTCAGTTTTTCATAAAGCAGTCAGTTCTACACTTAGTGGAGATAAGTACACTTACAGGTGACAAAGATGACCAATTAATTTATACTCATATTTTTTTAAAAAATAGAAAACTTTGTAAATAGAAAAATTGTCCACAGTTCTCTGATAGCTGTATAGAGAGACTTCAAAGATGGTAAGAAAGAAAATACATTGGAAGGAAAGACAAAGAAAAATTGGCATGGGGAGCGGGATTAGATGATAGTAATGAGAAGTATCTGATTAATAGTGAGCTGGAGGCAGAGAGATGAAGAGAAGAAAGATAGAGAACTATTAATGACTCCCCTCTCTAGGTCCCTGTTAGATCTAGGTTCTATAAAATTACGAAAATGTTGTACACTACACAACAATGCTGAGGAATGTTCTAGGATTTTGGAATGATTATAACAGGAACCCTGTGATACATGTATTATAATAGAAGCCCTGGTTCTTCATTAATGACTTCACTACTTCACTATTTCTTGTCATTCCTAATGCCAGTAAATTAATTATGAATTCATATTTTAAATTGTAAAAAGATGTTACATTTTTCTTTTGTTAGGATGATTTTATTATGTCAAGTGGTGTATTTCATTTTAGCTGCTTCAGTTTCTAATGGTAAGTAGAGTTTTATCGTAAGTATAACTGGAAATAGCTTTGTTGCCTGACTTATAGATTTAAAAAACAAAAGGATATAAATCCAGACAGGAAAATCCCACTATGGTTTCCATATATGTGGGAAAATTCCATCTATCACTACCAGACAAGGAATTAAAATAGTTTTATTTATTTTCTTAAGACTCCAAGACTTTTCGAAATGAAAATGAGGTGAAGGAATTATTCAAAATAGAAGGCTATATCCAGATCTATATGATATAATTAAATGATATTTGAGGGAAATATTAAAAAGTAGAAGACCTGATTTTCTTTACTGATTAATCAGTTTTCCATAAAATAGTCAATTCAATGCACATTAGTTTTCCTTATTAGCTGCTGTTGAGTTAATCTGAAATCATGTGATCCATGTGTATCAGAACAGAACAATGCTCCATAGGGTTTTCAATGGCTGGTTTTTCAGAAATACATCTTCAGGCTTTTCTTCTGAGGAGCCTCTGGGTAGACTCGAATCTCCAACCCTCAGGATAGCAGCTGAGTGAGTTAACCATTTGTACTGCCCAGGGCGTCCAACCCATTTTATAAAGTCAGTGCAACTTTGATTATCAAAACATGACAGGCATATTACAAGAAAGGGGGGGAAGAAAAAAAAACCCCACAAATCTTTATCATAAAGAAAGTATTATCAAATTTAATTCAGCAGAATATTAAAAAACAACAACAAAAAAAGATGGTTATATTGCTACAAAGTTGGGTTTTATCTCAGGATGAAAAGTTGGCTTAATATTTGATAATTAATAGATGCATAAAAAAATATTTGATAAAAATCCATTCATAATAAAAACTCTTGGCACACTCATGACAGAAGGGAAATTCCTTCATCTGTTAACAGTTATTATAAAAACAAACAAGAACACAAAATAATCTTGAAGAAATATGCTACTTAACAGTGGATTAGTAAGCTTTCCCATAGGAATGGGACATAAAACAAGAGTATGCACCACTACTTCTATTCCACATTGTACTCAAGGTCCTATCCTGTGAAGAAGGGGAAGAAAAAGAAACAAAAAGTAAAGACAGAAAAAAATAAACGCTTATTATTCACAGATTGCATGATGTGTTCGTAGAAAAATCCAAAGTAATCAGCATGTATATTGTTTGAGCTAATAAGTTAAATAACCATAAAGTCTGGATACAAAGTCAATATATACAAACAGACACTTGCATTTGGTAAAAAAAAAAAAAAAATAATAATAATAATAATAACCATTTTTTACTGGTGCTAAGAAGCTTATTTGGATTTTGAAAATCAGTCCTGTGAAATTAAATAATATGATCAGAATGGGATATATCCCAATGTAGGTCACTATGAGTCAGAATCTACTTGATGGCCATGCTTTTTTTTTTTTTTTTCATATTTTAAGAAAATCAGCCCCCCCCTTTTTTTATCACTTAATTTACTAGATTAATAATTTCCATGGTTAATGGGAATATTTCAAGGTGAAAATAGAATCTCCATTCATGGGAACTTGCCACACCAGCAGAAGTTCCTGGATTTGTCAAAGAGCTAGGGAGGGTGAGGAAAGAATTCAGCTTACACCTGCATTTATTTAGAGCTCTGGTGGTGATGGGCATCACACCGACCTGTGGTCTTGCCCTGGGCTCTCCTCTCTGCAGAAGAGGGCCTGCTTGGAATGGTAGAGCTTTGTGGAAAGTATCTTCTCTCCTTCGACCAGGTTCTTGGTGCCAACTGGTTTATAGTTCTTCTGTCCACACTTGCCACTTTAAGTCAGTGTTTGCCTATCTCATCTCATTTCCAGTGCTCCATGGAGGAGGAATGAGGGACAAAAGAGGAAAATAATGAGGAATGATGAGAGAGGTACATAACTTGTTATTGGAGAAAAAAGAAGAACTGTCCAATTTTGCTTTATTGGCAAAAGAAATACCCACCTAGAGGCCCAATCTCTATCACCAATGACACATAAGAACATACAGATTTATCTCCTCCTAGAAAGAAAGAGAAGGATAAACTTTCCACATCAAACTTGTAGTTTTATGTTATAAATAATAATAATAATTTGCTAAAAGTTTCCTGATAAGTTCTTTATGTCTATTAGTAGACTTCTATGGGTAGTATTCATCTTTAGTTGGAATGTCTTCTAGGAATTTGATTCTAAGTCAGTTTTATACAACTTAATCATAGAAAAAATGTTACTAATGGAGATTAGTTTCTAGATGTCATTTAAAAGCCCATTTCATTCACATTGCAGCTAGGTTTCTATATTATTTTTGTTCATTTATTTCTCATTCTTTATTTTAAAAGTATAAAATATAAAATATTTTAAGCTTTTAATAATTCTACAAATCTTGCTTATAATGCAATAATTTAAAAGTGTTGATTTCCCTAATTTTCAAGTTCAGGCATATTTCCTGTTAAGTAGTCCAACTTGCCTTGTCTTTGTAAGATTATTACCTAATTACATATGTGTCCACTGGAACCCAAAATAACATGTGTCGTGTATTGTATCACAGGATGTGTAACTGAACTGTTCAAAGACACCTACTTTCAAGGAGGAGACATAACTACTGTTTTTACACCAAGTGCCAAGTACTGCCAGCTAGTCTGCACCCACCACCCACGGTGTCTGCTCTTCACTTTTATGGCTGAATCATCATCTGAAGATGCTACTAAATGTTAAGTGTTTACATTTTTTATGTAGAGGAAATAGATTTTACATGACGCTTGCCTAGTGATAAACTTCTACCTACCAATTTATAATACGTGAAGTTAGGAATAGGAAAACAATTTGCTCTCTAATTCAATTGAAAGCTAAAAGTTGAATATTACTTTGGGGGATGGGGGATAGAGAAGTAGGGGAAGATGATGGTTAGGCTGATTAGGGAAGAACAGATACCCTTCTTTCAGTGTGGACTTTCTAGTCCCTTTTTCGGTCTCAATATTGATGGTAAACTTGCTCTCTTAATCCTTTCTCTTTTTATTATTATTTGAAAGCCTTATTTTAAAAAATTTCAAAACTTTTTTTTTATTATGATTTGGCTTGAATTTTACAGAGCAAGTTGGGTTTCCATTCAATCATAACAAAAAAAAAAAAAAAAACTCACTGCTGTTGGGTTGGTTACGACTCATAGTGATCCCTCCTTTGGTTTCCAAAGTGATGTTGTTGTTGTTGTTATGTGCCGTCGAGTCAAACCCGACTCATAGCGACCCCTCCTTGGGTTTCCGAGGCAGTATCACTACGGAAGTAGGATTGCCCAACCTTCCTTCCGAGGTGATATCTCTATGAAAGTAGATTGCCCAGTCTTCCTTCCAAGGAGTGGCTGGTGGGTTTGAACCACCAGCCTCTGGTTAGCAGTCAAATGCCTTAGGCACTATGCACACATTTTGTTTTGTGACATTGATTTAAATCCTTACAATGTAAAAGCACTCTTCTCATTTCTTCCCCGTGGTTACCATTTCCCTTTGTTTTTCTTTCATATCCATTCATGTCTTCTGAGTGTATCCCTGAGCAAAGGCTGTCCTTTGTGTCTTTTATGGTTGATTGTGTTAAGGAGTGCATACCTCGCTGGTGTTATTGTTCACCTCATAGGCCTCTCTAGTATTTGGCTGAAAGTTGAGACATGGGGATGTGTTCAGTTCCAGGCTTGAGGTTGATTAAAGGTCATAGTCTCAGGGGTTCTACCAGCTCTTTCAGTCCAGTAAGCCAGTTTTTTTTTGTTGTTTGTTTGTTTGTTTTGCTTTATGATGTTGAGTTTTCTTCCACATTTTTCTCCCACTGTATCCAGAATCTCTTTTTGTGATCCCTTGCAGAGTGTTTGGCAGTGGTAGCTCGGCATCATTTAGTTCTGGTCAAAGAAGAAGTGGCCTAAGAAGACTGAGGTTCACATGGTCCACTAGCCCCTTGTACTAATTGTTTCCATGAGTATTTTATTTTCTTCATTATTCTTTGTTCTGGACAAGGAGAGACCAATAGTTGCACTGTAGATGCCATCTCGTTATAATAATTGACTTTGTCTTCTTGAACTGCTCTTAGAAATCTTTGCTCAGCTTTTTTATTTTGTCATTTCTTCCATTTGCTTTAGCTACTCTCCACTCAAGAGCAAATTTAAGTTTCTTCTGACATCCATTTTGGTCTTTTCTTCCTTTCCTGTCTTTTTAATGATGTTTTGCTTTTTTCATGGATGACATTCTTGACGTCATCCCATAATTCATCTGGTTTTCAGTCACGAGTGTTCAACACATCAAATTTATTCTTCAAATGGTCTCCAAATTCAGTTGGGATATAATCAAGGCCATATGTTGGCTCTTGTGGACTTGTTTGAATTGTCTTCAGCTTCAACTTGAACTTGCATATGAACAGTTGATGGTCTGTTCCACAATCAGTTCCTGATCTTATTTTGGCTGAAGATATTGAGCTTCTCCATCACCTCTTTCCACAGTAGCCAATCTGGTTCCTGTATATTCCATCTGGTGAAGTATTCCATCTGGTGAAGTCTATGTGTATAGCCACCACGTATGTTGTTGAAAAAAGGTATTTACAATGAGTAAGGCATTAAACTAAAACCAAACCAAACTCACTGCTGTCAAGTCAATCCTGACTCACTGCAACCCCTCCTTGGGTTTCTGAGGTGGTATCTCTACAGAAGTGGATTGCCCAATCTTTCTTCTGAGGAGTGGCTTTCTTCTGAGGATTGCCCCATCTTCCTTCCAAGTGGCTGGTGGGTTTGAACTGCCAGCCTTCTGGATAGCAGTCAAATACCTTAAGCACTATGCCACCAGAGCTCCTAGTAAGTCACTGGTCTTACAAAATTCTATTATGTGACATCCGATGTCATTTCTGTCGCTTTATTTTCCAACTACAAGTGATTCTTTGTTTCCAACTTTTGCATCCAAATCACCAGTAATAATCAATACACCTTGATTGCATGTTTGGTTAATTTCCTTAGTCTTTGAGGAGACATCTTTGCTATTCAGCATTGAAAGAGGTCCTTTGCAGACTATTTTTCCAGTGCTATATGTCATCTGATGTCCTGTCTGCTGCTTCCATTGGCGTAGATTGTAGAATTAAGCAATGTGAAGTCTTTGACAACTTCAATCTTTTCTCCATTTATCATGATGCTGCTTATAGGTCCAGTTGTGAGGATTTTTGTTTTCTTTGT